ACATACATACATACATACATACATACATACATACATACATACATACATACATACTAAAATACTGGGCCCTCTGAAACAGCAAGGCATTCTTCCAGCACAATCCAGCCCTCAGGCCTTGGTGGGAAGGCAGTGCTGTGAACCTGGTCAAGAAGACCCCTAACCAGAGCTCTCATCCCAAGAATGACCTTTCCAGTGCTGTGGCGATACCAATGTAGGCTCTCACCGCACCCATCCTCGAGGGTACTCGGACTCCTCTGGGAGTAAGGAGTGCAGCAATTTCACTTTCCAGAGGCTGCCTGCTTCCAGAAGGGTCTGTCTTCCTGATAGCACAAGCATGATCTAGGAGTTTCTGCTTCCCACGGATCCTAATCCCAGGTGAGTGCCTGGAGCTGCTCTTAGATCCCTACTTCCTCAGACCCACCTTTGGAAATCTGCCCCTTTCTCTTGCTGGTAAATGAAGTGGAGTCAGGAATTACTGGCAAAAGGGGAAAGCTCCACAGGAGCCAGATAAAAGCCAAATAAAACTCAAATAATGCATCTCCCAGTCCTCACTCTTGGCCCACATCATTCACATCTACAAGATGTGAACATTCTGGTGGTATAGGCACATGGAGGGTCCTCCAGGATCTGGACTACCAGGGCATACAGACTGACACACAGTCAGGGGGAAAGGAACACTGAAAGGCAAGCTACCCAGTCTCCTCCAAGGCCATTAGGTGGAGGCTGAACTGGGACCCACCTGCAGCTATAGCAAGCAGGAAGTGGCTGCTAATGCCAGAGGACACTGTCCCCCCATCTCCCAACCCAAGTGGAGGTTCCTTGAGAGGGTTCGCCTCAAAGCACATGGCTCTTAAAATATATATACACTGTGCAAGAAGAGCCATCAGCATCCTAGTGAAGATAATTATAACCACTGTCTGCCCCAAAACTAGGGCAACCTATCAAAATTTAAAGAATTTTGATCATGCCTTTGGAGAGCAAGCTGAAACTCTGGAACTCACTTGAAACCACTTACAATGCCAGCAAGGAATGATCAGGCATGTTCAAGGAATCACAGCCCTGTTGTTGGTTTAAGTGGAGGGTACCTCAGGGACCCCAAAAAGGGAACTATGCCTTGGGACACAGAGCTCTAACTGCAGGGAAAGAAAACTGTCCTTACTCTACATTGGAGGCGGTGTGCCTGAGCTAAGACAACCTGACAGACACTAGAAATGAAACACAGCCCCACAGGGGATGCGGCCTGTGAGAGGAACCGTCCTCCTGGCCTGCCGTCCTGCATCTAAAGGACGGATGGTCAGACACGTCTGTCTCCCTTAGTCTAAAGCCCCCGAGCCCTCTCACTCCTGTGCACCTGCTGTGTGGAAAGAACAGTGTATCCAAAGTACAAGGCTCAGAAGTGAGAAGCAGCTCAGGAGATGGGAAGACAGATGATCTTCACTTCCCCAAATCCAGAAATACAGTCAGTAGCCTGGGCAGAGGCGGCAGAGACCAGGTCAACGCTTGGTACAAGTCAGTTCTAGCATCTTGCCCTTAATGGAATCGCCAAAAGTGAAGGGGGCAATCCCCTCCCCAGACTCCTGCACATGAAGCTTTCTTTGAGGGTCAAAGATGCTAAGTTTCTCAGGACCTACCTTAAAGGAAAACCTTTCTACTAGATCCAAGAAGCTCATCTGTGCTTCTGCCCAACTCCTCTTCAAGGGACTACAGGATGGGGGACAGGAAGACTGAGATAAAGGCTCAGATTTTCGCCATTACCCACGCTCACAGCCAAGGTATATGTGTGGCACAAGGCAGTAGCTCGTGGTTTTCCGAAGCGGGGGGAAAACCATCTTCATTCAACAAAAGGGACAACTAACTTGGCCTTGACAATCCAGACCAGTTGCACCAGCCTTAGTCACACCACTGGAGGGAGGAAAGGGCTGGACAGAGTTCCTATTCTCTGAAAACTAAACTGAAAAGTGATTTTTTTTTTCTCTCTCAGAAGCCCACGCAGGGCTCCACTGCGCTGCACAGAGCTCTGAAAAACAGGATGACAAGAGGAAAAACTGGATTTAGGTGGGACACAGTATGCAAAATTTCTATTAGGGAGATATGGAATTCCTTTTTCTTTTAGATTTGGTTCCCAAAAGTCTTATGACTAGAAAGAGTATTCATCCTCTCTGTTAGGAGGATGTCCAGGACGCAGCTGGCTGGGGCAGCAGGTTTGACAGTTTGTGGAAGTCAAGGGCTACTAAAGCAAGGTGGCCTGAGTGATTAGTTTGTCCTGGATTTGGTGACGCCATGGCAGGTGACCTGGCTGCAAGGATGGAACAGACTTAGCAACCACCCCCAGCTGACAGAGTGGATCAAGAGGGACACTCACGGTGCCGTGGGATATGGTCAGGAAGCCATTTTTGACTGAACACTTCCTCTTCTGCCACACTTTTCGGATCCTTAAGGAGGAGAAGAGGGGAGAGTGGCAGAGTTTAGACAGGAACATGGGAGACAGCCAGCACACGGTCCAACTCAGCACTAGCAGGCTGGTCACCTACCCGTCACTCTTCTTGTACAGGTTCCCATTCCGCTCCGTCCCGTGTTCCTTGTTTCCCTGAGGTTGATGTAAGCTGTAGGCTGTACTTTGGCGAAGTTGTGAGTCCTAAAAGTCAAGAGACTGCTTTTTAATGCATCTTGTTTAAGTCCCAGTTTTAAAACACGCACTACATAAAAAGAAACATGTACCTATATGTTTTATTATTATAAAATTTCCCTCTCTAATCGCACACCAAAAAACCAAAAAACAAAACAAAAAAAAAAACAAACCCAAAAACCTTCATAAACTGCATCCATCAGGCTGTAGAAGGAAATGTCAAAACCCAGTATTTCTAGCACTGGTGTTGGGGGAGGTGAGTGGTAGAGGATTACCTCACAAGTGAACGGCCCTGAGTTCCACCCCAGCATCTCCATCACCCCCAAATTATCAGTACTTCTAAACTGGCTTTAATGAGCCACCTTGGGAGAGACAGATTTTACTTTGGACCCTGCCAATGACTGGGAGATACGGTGGTGGTGAAGCCTTGGGAAGGAAAGTTCTGGAGTTGTGTTGAGAAAGATCACTGCTTGTAACATGGGCAAATTGAAATTGGTCTTTCTGCCTCAGTTTCTTTCTTGGACAAGAGGAAAACACTCAATAAAACATAAATGTAGTAAGGATGGATACGATCACATATGTACATAACAGCAACGGTCCAATATTCCCTTCCTCGCCTTGTCCATCTCATGGAGTGTCTGTGGGCGGTGGGTGCACTGATCCTAATTGGTCCAACTCTGACCAAGTGTGCCACAGTTGCAGAGAAGGCCAGCAGTGTGCTCAGCCGAGACTCACAGTGCATCCACCTGATGACAAACTCTAGGATTGGAACCAGAGGAAATGCTCCAGAATCCAGGCCAGTGCCACACTGGGCACAGAGGGAGCGACCAGCCAGGGCTGGATTCTGGCTGACCTATTAGGCGTAAGCGGATGGGAAATGCCCATGAAGAGTTCACAACCAGGCAAGGGCTAAGACCTTTTCTGTTTGTTGTGGATTCTGCCAAGCCATGAAACAAGATGAAACGAGATGTGATGATAAGTGGTTTGCTTAAGGGGCAGAGCCTCTCAGACCCGGAGTAGAGTGTCAGACAGAAGCGCGGCTCTGATACCACAGCTCCCTCCACCAAGCGGAAGTTATCAGAGACTAGGGCCAACCTCCTTCCGGGTGCCAAGAAGCTGATCATTACCCGAGAAACAAAGGCAGTGCCCAGACAATGATGGAACTAATAATGTCTGAAGATCAACATAAAATCCAAACTGAAGAGAGAATTTTAAACACCCAAGAACTGAGGGACCAAAAATACATACTTCAGGAAGAGTCTCTCAAAAAAGAAAAAAGAGAGAGATTCAAGACAAGGGAGTTAGGAGACAGGAGACAAGAGCGAGAGCTGTGGCCAACACCCAGGGAAGAAGAGACACGGGCTGAGCCAGAAGGAAGAAGAGCCAGCTTCCCCGAGTCATAGTACAGGCTTCGGCTTCAAGTAACAGCAAACCTCAAGGGACTCTGCCCAGTTTAGAATCCTTTTTTTTTTTTTTTTTTTGAGACAGGGTTTCTCTGCATAGCCCTGGGCTGTCTCGGAACTCATTCTGTGACCAGGATGGCCTTGAACTCAGAGATCCACCTGCCTCTTTCTCCCAACTGCTGAGATTAAAGGTGTACACCACTACCCAGTTTGGAAGACTTCGGTAATTTGTTCTTTAGGGGTGTAAAGTACAAATTCATAAGAAACCAGCGCCTAATTTAGGATCATGGAGGTTATAGCTATAAATAAATCTTTGAAGAGTTTTATAACGCTCTTACTCTTTGAGGTAATTTAAGGTTATGCTGAGGCGGGGTTTCAAATTCACTCCATTTCTGATGGGCACCCAGCTGACTCAAAACCACTCTTTTCCCACAGTCCTGGCAACACTGCTGAAGAGTCTACCGACCACAAAAGTATGGTCTATGTCTGAACTCAATTCTGTCCCATCCTTCTGCACACCCATCCACATTCCAACACATGGCAGTGCTACGGTTGTTACAGCTTTGGGGTTAGTCCTGAGGTCAGGACATGTGAGTGCTCCAATTTTCTTTTTCATGACTGTTTTGTATACTCTGGGTCCTTCTGCATTTCCATATAAATCTCAGAGTCAGCTTGTCAATTTCTGCAAAAAAGGCAGCTGGGATTTTGATGCAGAAAGCACGGAACCGCTGGATCTATGTGGGGAGCACTGCTTAACTGCAACCCTGTTAAGTCTTCCTATACACCTGAGGCTGGATATGTGACTGCCAGGGCCTGGGTGCTGACTGTATACTCCTCACAGGAGGGTGGCCTCGGGTCTCACACTCTCCCTAAAGGACAGTACTAATTTAAGTATTAGAAATCTGGAAAGGAAGGAAGGAAGGAAGGAAGGAAGGAAGGAAGGAAGGAAGGAAGGAAGGAAGGAAGGAAGGAAGGAAGGAAGGAAGGAAGGAAAGAAAGAAAGAAAGAAAGAAAGAAAGAAAGAAAGAAAGAAAGAAAGAAAGAAAGAAAGAAAACAGCTTTCTATACTGCAAGAAATAATACCAAGGAGAAATACTGCCTTGGTCACTTGAATGGCTCTTTACGGGAGACTAAAGTTCTATACATCACTGAAGAGCCTTTGAGCTGGGTATGGTGCACACCTATACTCCTGGCTCTAGGGTCAGGGTGTGAGGCTCATAGAGGAAAAGTGACACTGGTAGGACCTATGACTGGGGAGCCAAATGGCCCCCAAAGTCCTGGGCCTATGATAGGAGAGAAGGGCTTGAGCAAGAGTGGGAGCAGCAAGATGTCAGGGAGAGAAGAGGCTAGCAAGGAGGACTGAAGGAAGCAGATGGAGCAGTGAACAGCAGCAGAGGTGGTCCATGACTGCTCAGACACTGTGTGTGAACGCAGCAGGTCGTGCAGCATGGCCTCTGTTCGCTGCTACATCTGAGGAGAGTTGAACAAATGAGTTAGCACCTGTTCATCAAGATAGTGAGCTGAGACCTTAACGAAAACCCTCATACCTCTCCTACCAACTGCAAAAACAGGCAACATTATTCCTGCTTTGTGGGAGACTGAGGCAGGGGAGGCCTAGACCCTGCCTCTCTCATGCTAGCACATGGGAAAGACTAAGACTTGGCATTTCTGCTCTGCCCTAGTCCTGAATGAGAAGCTAGTCTTCCTGCTCCACCTCTGAGATGTTGTCATCTCCTAGCCACCTTCCAAAAGTTCTGACTCGGGAACTGTAGCCACTGGCAGAACCCCCAACAGAGCTCTCACACTGTATCCCCAATTGCTCTTCTCATCCCACTTCCAGATTGTTACTAGGGACGCAGGGAGCACTGTGCCCCCTTTTTCTGGTGTGTTTGTGGGGTGCACAGCTTAAGAAACAAAAGCTGAAGGTGCTGAGCAAGCCTTCCTCCCACCAAGGCAAGTAAGACCAGGCCAGGATTGCCCAGGACTCAGCGCAGAGGCCGGCAGTGAGATAGTGTCGAGCAGAACAAGGCCACAAATCCAGACAGGAAAAACCAGAGTCAGGAGACGGTGGTCAGAGCAGAGTTTGCTACTCGACAGCCAACTGCTCGCTCACACGCTACAAGACTGGGACACTTAAAAAAAGAGACGCAGAAGCAGAGGCTGGGAGCGGTGGCCCACACCTTCGATCCCCAGCGCCCAGGACAGCCAGGGCTGCACAGAGAAACCCTGTCTCAAAAAAACAAGACACACAGAGAGAATAAAGGCCTCCTGAGACCACCTCCCAGAGCCTGATCCCCTCAGGACCACGGCTAAATTCTCACTACCAGTGGCCTCACAGAAGATCACCCCTTACGGACCTCACTGAGATGGCTATGTGAAGATGTGCACAGGATGGAGAGAACAGAAGATGAAAGCAACTGAGAGAAAGGGCATGGTGGCAGCCAGCGGCACTGGGGGTGCCAGGGATTGAACCCAGGACTCTGCATGCTAGGCAAGCTTTCTACCACCGAGCCACATCCTTGGCCTTCCCATGACCCCCGCCTCCCTCTCTCCCTCCTTCCCTTCCTTCCTAAGAGAGGGTCTCACTTTGTAGCCCTGGCTGACCTGGCATTTGCTCTTGTTTAGGCTGGTCTTGAACTCAGAGCTCCCCGCTGCTTCTGCCTCCTAAGTGCTGGCATTACAGATAGGCATC